TTACAGTGTGGTAAACTCTTACGATATGGTCTTTTTAACATGATTCAAGACTTTCTTTCTAATAATTAGCGATACAAATAACTGCCCCGTTAAGATACAGATGGGAAGCAGCCCAATCTGTTGAACAAAAAAGTATTTTTTTGTCTTGAAAACACAAAACAGACTGTACTGCAGCTGTAGCAACATAGCCGCTGATTTATGAACAATGAATCCAAGCATTAGCAAATGCCGTATCTTTTTCAACAGGCATGCAATGTGTGACCATCGAGACCCATGGAGAAAAACAACCTTGCGTGCTTGCGAACAGATGCTCGGCACAACTCGGAGACGGAATGGAACGAGGTCTGTTTGCACGAGGGCAGAATATATTAATTACAAAGTTCGATCTTTGAGTTGAGGCATGCTAGAGGAAGCCCATGCGGCACATGTCTGCAGCGCGCCAGACAGTTTATTCTGGGAAATCCGAAGCTCTCGACACAGGGATGGGAGTGTATGAGTAACAAGGGTGGAGAGATGGACAGAAAAAAGAAATCAGTACAAAATTAAAAGGAGTGAACTAAATTGGCAAAGGCCACATGGCTTCGGTAAAACCACTGGGGCCGACCATGGTCCTTTTGATCTGTCTCGGTGAACGTCAACCCCCCATCAGACAGGTCCTCAGCACAACCACATAAAACCGTTCTTCCAGGACTGCTTCCATTGCTCTCTAACTTATCCATTAATGAAAAAGACACTGCTGTAGGAGGGGTGTGATGAAATACATCAAATAGACCAGCTGGGTTAAATTGCATGTTGAGTCGAGTGAAACAAACATTATTTCTACAAAAAAATTGTTAATCAGTATTTTTGTCCTTTTTTCAGAGAGAAAAAAAATATTTACACATTATTATTATTATTTAAATGTATGAAATACATTAAGCTGTAAGTAAAATTAGCACAGTACATTTTGAATTAAGTTTATTTTTCTTTCTCGACTGGCAATTTTGTTGTTGTTTTAAACAAAACTTGTTTTATTAGGTATAAACAACGATACAATTTTTCTTCCATTGAACAATAAAACAACATTTTTTAATATTCTTTATGCAATCTTACACAATTTTTGCTTTTCAAAAAATGTATCTTATTTTAATTATATTAATATTTAAAATAAGATACATTTTCTTGAGAATATATAATATTAATATATTAGCTAAATATTAAATAAATTTAGCTAAGAAGTAAACTTAGCATAATACATATTTATGTTTATTTTTCTTACCCCACTGCCATTTTTTCTTGTTTTAAACATAAACCTAAAAATTTGTTTTTTTTTTGTGCTTAAAATAATGAGCATTTGTTTATGCTTAAAATAATAACAATAACAATACCAATACCAATAATAATAATAATAATACAAAAACTTTCTTTCATGGAACACCAAAGTATGCTATCTTATGCAATTTTTGCTTCTCAAAAAATATCTTAAAGATATTTATATTATTTATTATAATATTAATATATTCTAATATATCAGAGAACATGGCTGTCCGATGTTTTCCGTGAACATCGCTCTAGACTCAGGGCTGCAGAGAGGAAATGGCGCAAAACAAAAAACTCGACCGACCTTAGTGTGTATCAGTCACTCCTCTCTTCCTTCTCTGCAAACGTCTTCACTGCTAAAACGACATACTACCACAACAAAATTAACTGTCTCTCGCACACTTTAAAAAACTTTCTCTTCTCTTCTCTGTCCTCCTCCCCCTCCTCCTTCATCAACTCTTACAGCTGATGACTTTGCAATATTCTTCATAAATAAAATAAGAAACATCAATGACCAATTCTCCACACCACAAACCGATGATAACTTCATAACGACAAATACACACTCTCTCTCCTCCTTCTCTCCACTCTCGGAGACAGACGTTTCCAAACTTATCCTTTCCAATCATCCTACTACCTGTCCACTTGATCCTATCCCCACTCACATACTTCAGGCCATTTCTTCTTCAGCCATACCTGCGCTTACTCACATTATCAACACCTGTCTTCCCACTAGAGGTCTTCACGGGTCCACTTGGATCCGAAAACCCGAGGTCTGACCCGAGCGGGTTCGGGTCCAAAACTTCGACCAGTACCTCACAGGTCGGGTTCGGTATTAGCAGCCTCAGGTTTTTTCCAAATGGACTCGATTAGACCCGAATTCCTTTAAACTATCCCGAATGCGTAGGTTACTTTCACTTTCACGTTAAGTGAGGAACGCACATAGAAAAGGAGCATGCGCTTGTAACCTCGCACACAGAAATCATCTTATAGATATGAGATCCATCAGGAAAATCCACTCGCTTCATTATGCTGGGTGTTCATGCAGAGCTTTTCTTTTTTTGTGTGCAGAAGCCTTTCGCCGGAGATCAGGTTGCAGACAACACTAGCGAATCCATTAATTATTAGGATATCGTTTATTTTTCAAATCCACTGGTCACAATTGAAAGCCGAGCTCAGAAATAACATGTCTTCATCAGGTAGGCACTAATGTAAAGTAGCCTAATAATTCATTGAATAAATGTTAAATAAATCAAAGTAGCCTAATGGAGAAGCGGCAAAATCAGTCAGCAGGACACCAGGATTTTTCCTGACTGACTGCAGGGCTGCAGGCTGTACGCATGTCAATGCCGTTTACGTTGGGGTCCAGTCGGGTTCGAAAATAAATGCCGTCGGGTCGGACTCTGGTCTAATTTCATTGGGTCTGTCTCGGGCACAGATTTTAGGACCCGAGAAGACCTCTACTTCACACTGGTACATTTCCCACAGCATTTAAGCAGGCTCAGGTAACCCCACTGCTTATGAAACCCTCTCTAAATCCAGAACTTTTAGAAAACTACAGACTGGTATCCCTTCTTCCGTTCATTGCAAAGACACTTGAGCGAGTTGTGTTTAACCAACTCTCTATGTTCCTTGCACAGAACAACCACCTGGACAACAACCAATCTGGCTTCAAAAGTGGCCACTTAACTGAGACTGCCCTGCTCTCGGTTACTGAAGCCCTGAGACTGGCAAGAGCAGCTTCCAAATCCTCAGTACTCATCTTGCTGGATCTGTCTGCTGCTTTTGACAGTTAACCACCAGATCCTCCTGTCTACCCTCATAAAGATGGGAATCTCAGGAACCGCACTCCAATGGTTCAAGTCTTACCTCTCAGGTAGGTCTTTCAGGGTGTCTTTTCCACTGCATGGTACGGCACGGTACGGCTCGGTATGGTTAACTTTTGGGGGGTTTTCCACTGGGTGGGTTTTTTAGTGCCAACTCGGTTGAGGTTCCAAGTGAACCGTACCGTTACCAAAACGTGATGTGTAAACTCTGCTGATCACGGATTGGCCAGAGAGAATCGTTACTACCTGCGTCACTGAACTTGCGACACAAATACAACAGAACCGCTAGATTTAAATCAGTACAGTCAGCGAAGGATCGAACGCAACTGTTTTGAACGAGCGCACCTTTTTTAACAACCAAAAAGTGGCTGTTTTCGCTGTCTGTTGAGGAAATACAGACGTTCCTCTCGTTGATAGCAGAAGAGCGGATCCAGCAAGAGCTTGATGGGGCGAGGCAGAATGAAAAAGTTTTTCAGGAGTCGCGGCAGTAGAGGCGGCACAACTATAAACCACACGTGAATAATCCCGCCCACTCTAAAGCGGTACTGAACTGCAGTGGAAACGCAAACCGAGCCGAGCCGTTCCGTGCCGTACCGTACTGAGCCGTGCTGAGCTGAGTCGTACAACGCAGTGGAAAAGCGCCATAAGTCACAATTCTTGCTACTGGGGTTCCTCAAGGTTCAGTGCTTGGACCTCTTCTCTTCTCCATCTACATGTCATCATTAGGATCTGTCATTCAGAAGCATGGCTTTTCTTATCACTGCTATGCTGATGACACTCAACTCTACTTCGCATTCCAACCAGATGATCCGACGGTAGCTGTTCGCATTGCAGCCTGTCTGAGAAACATTTCTAGCTGGATGAAGGACCATCACCTTCAACTCAACCTTGCTAAGTCAGAACTGCTAGTGGTCTCAGCCAACCCAGCACTTCATCACAACTTCTCTATACAGCTGGGTTTGTCAACCATAACTCCTTCCAGGACAGCCAGGAACCTTGGAGCTGTGATCGATGATCAGTAAAGCTTCATAGACCTTATTGCTACAACAGCCCGGTCCTGCAGATTTGCCTTATACAACATTAGGAAGATTAGACCCTTCCTATCAGAGCAAGCTGCACAACTCCTTGTCAAAGCTCTTGTTCTCTCCAGACTAGACTATTGTAATGCTCTCTTGGCAGGCCTTCCCGCATGTACTATCATGCACAATGAAGCCTCTGCAACTGATCCAGAATGCAGCAGCGAGAGTGGTCTTTAGCCGAAAAAAGCTCACGTTACACCTGGCTAATAGGTAGCTACTCGCATCAAATTCAAGGTACTGATGTTTGCCTACAAGACAACAACTGGCGCTGCACCAATACACCTAAACTCGCTAGTTCAAACTTGTGCGCCCTCCAGAAGCTTGCGTTCTGCAAGTGAACGACACCTTGTGGTGCCATCCCAAAGAGGCACAAAATCACTATCACAGACTTTTTCCTGGACTGTGCCCAGCTGGTGGAATGACCTCCCTATCTCAATTCGAACAGCTGAGTCTTTGGCCATTTTCAAAAACCGTCTAAAGACACCTCTTTTTCGCCAGCACCTGACGAACTAATACTAGCACTTACCTATTCTATTCTGTTCTGTTCTGTTCTATTCCATTCTAAAAAAAAAAAAACTAGCTATGTGTACTGTTCTAGACTGAGACTTGTCACAGCACTTGTATACTGTTGCTCTCCCGTTCGTCTGATTGCTTCTATTGTTCTCCTCATTTGTAAGTCGCTATGGATAAAAGCGTCTGCTAAATGATTAAATCTAAATGTAATTTAGTAAATGTAAAAAATGTAGATAGTTTTTTTTCTCAAAAACTAGATCAAAATACTGATAAAAAAAAATAAAAATCCTGCAATCAAAACGTAAGACTCAAGACTTTCAAACTCAGTTCATGTGTCTCTTCATGTGAAAATAAAGTCATGTTTTGCTCCTACACTGGAGAAGTCATATGAATACATTTAATAAAAAAAAGTGAGCGGAAGGTACCAAGAATACGCTGCACCTGGTTTTAAAGCTAACAGTCATGTGCAATGTGGTAACTGGAATGGTTACGCACACAGTGTAGCTTAATTTTAGCAGACTTGTTTTCTTTGTGTAAATCCATCCTATGATCATAAACCATGTAAACCTTTCCCTTTACATCCTGAAGTCACAGCAGTCCACCGAACGAAAACCATCCAGAACATATCTGCAGTAAATTACAGCCGTTTGCCATGTGTAAAACGTGAGGATGAAATCGTAAACCAAGCATGAAGAATACATAAAATACATTTATAACGTACAGTTTATCTGACTCTGCTGAGTTAAATAACACGTTCTTGCTGATTTTAAATTATTGTTGTCCAGTAAAAGTTCCCCTGCCTTTTCAAACATACCATTCCCTGCGTGAAATCACAGATCCATCCACGTGAGACACATAGTCGCTGTCTGTGCCGTTGTCGTAGCACTCGTCCTGCAGGTAAGGGGAGCCGTTGTGAAGCGGTGGCCCACTGGGGTTCACATTATGATGGTTGTGGTGGTCGGAGTAATACGTTCCCTCTCTCTGAAGGCTGAGATTGTCTCTCCAGCCCTCCATGTCTTTGTGGTCACTGGGATAATCGGGATAGATAATGTCTCCTTCGGGTTTGGGCTTCAAGTCTTGGCTTCCGTTGCCAGAGTCGTCTCCGTAAACGTCCTGAAGCTCATGGGGTTGAAGGACGTCCAGTTGCGACTCTTTTTGCATGTCGGATGGGCCGATGTACTGTTTGGTGTAGTAGTCTCCTCTGAATGTTCGGCGCTGACGCATGTAGAAAGCCCCCGCCAGCGCCATCAGCAACACCAGGATCAGGATCCCACCGACAGCACCGCCCACGATAGTGCCCAGACTGCTGTCCGGCGGAGAGGCCTGAGTTGGGGCAGTGAAGTGGGCATGGTGGTTGATGGGAGCTGTGATGGTTAAGGTGGTGTCAGGAAGGATGGACTTGGAGGTGCTGGTGGTGGTGGGGGCTGCAGTGGTCGGGGCCGGCTCTGAGAGGGTGAGATATAGACAAATATTAAAATATAGGTAAACAGATACATAAAGACAAGTTGTGAAGAAAATGCACCGATTTAATATTCTGTCTGGTACTGATTACGATATTAAACTATTAAAACAAAATACATTTAGCTGTAAAATGAGCATAACACATTAAATTGAGCAGTTAACTAAATTAAAACAAAAACATTAACTTGAACCGAAATGAAATAAAATAAAATATAAAAACACTTAAAACTTTTATTTCAGCTAGTCACCAAGGCAACAATTTTTATTTAGTTTATGTCGATGTTCTAAAATAACTAAAACTAAAAAATGAAAACTATATAGACATATAAAAAAACGAACAAAAGAAAAAAAAACTAATTTCTAAAAGTATAATATACCTAAAATTAAAATGACAACAGAAAATATAAAAGAAAAAACTAATTCAAAATATGAATAAAACTATAACAGTACCTCAATGATACTAAAATATAAATATATACAAAAAAAAAACTCGTATACCACTGGCAATTCTTTTCTTGTTTTAAATATATATCTTAAAAAATACAAATAAAATAAAATAATTTAATTAAATTAAATTAAAAAATGAAAAATAAAATAAAATAAATAAAGCTCAAAATAATAATATACACCGATATTAAAATTCTGGTCAGTACTGACAAGTTAATAATGTATACTATTTTGTCTTAATAATCACTTTTCACAAAAAAAAAACAGTTTGAAAGTAGTTTAAAAGAAAATCATGATGTATATGCACCTATATATCAATTTTTATATAAAGAGCTGGCAAATAATGTACAGTAGTTACAATTTGTGACAAAAAAAATCAGGCTGTTGAGATTTGTTATATTGTATATATTGCTTTATGTGAATATACTGCATGTATATGGATAAGGTTGGATGTAATTTATATCCAACTTCATATAGAACTGTGCAATAACACACACACACACACACACACACACACACACAAACACAAATACAAACACAAATAAAATTAATCAAGTGCATTAAAGCATTAAAACCTACAGTATGAAATACAGATTTTGATTTTGAGATTTGCTATTGATTTGTTATTAATTTATTAGCGGTTTAAAAACATTTTAAATGCTAGATGACAAAAAAGAAATCTGAATGTAAAAATAGGGAAAATGAACAATTAAATATCCAATATCTGATAAATAGAAAAATTCAATATTGATCGATATTGTACCAATAATTCTGTAATATAATTATTTAAAGGTTATTACTCAAGATAAAAGGACAGAACTTGCAATGACTAAGAGGAAAAACTAAATCTTGCTGATGTATAACAGCAGGTTCAGGCACCAAAGGGCACAATTATTTGAATTTGGAGGCCTGTGAAGACACAGTAACAGTGAACAAGTCTTCAAGACTGGTACATCAATTTTACATCAAAAAAGGATGTTAAAAATATTGCACTTTTGGATGGTATAAAATAACTATTTGGTGTATCAATTATGGGACGTCAACTGGGGACAACTTTCATTTTAAGAAAGTCACTCTAAACTTCTTCAAAGAACAGAGGCCCAGGTCCTGATTTTTCATATATCATTTCATTTTTCTCTATACTTCCGTCATCCATGTTTGTGCACCACTGAAGTCCAAAAACTGCCACAATATTTGGATTATGATTTGACCACAGAGCTACATGATAAAGGTTCCTCGTGTTTTGCAGCCTGAAGAAGAGCCAAATATGTGGAAAAAGCACAGTGGCAAAGAGCTGATTGAATTGAAACTGCTGTGAGTTTGGTCCAACTTTATTTACGTCATTGCAGAAACCTCACAGGCCAAGTGTAGAGCGTTTGGCACATTCAGCCAGCTTTCATAAAGAGCTTCTGTTAACGGTATTTTCAACAAGAGATTCAGGAATTGACATATTCAGTAACAGGAAATACACACTTACTCAATGATACAACACAAATGTCAAACACAAGAAAACATCTTGTGAGTTTTGTCAGGGTTTTCCAGGCTGTTCCAAAAAATAAATCCAAGATGGTGGACAAAGTGAAAGAAATCTATCAAAAAACAGCAACAACAAAAGAACTATCAATAATAGAGTGCTTCAGGGATCATGCATTTTTGTAGGCCATCCCAGAAGTTCGCATCCCCCTGGTTTCCTCAACAAAAAGCCAATAATGTTTTTACATTGGCTTTTGGATTATTCCAGAAAATGAGCTCTGTGACCAACAAAAGTTTATTATTCAAACATAGTATAACACTCCACAAATGAATACAACTTTTATGAATTTTCAAGCCCAAATAAAGAAGTAAAAGCATGACTTCAACGTATGGATGGGCGATATGGCCAAATATATATGATTATTAGGTATTTTTATGAAAAACAGTAGTCGAAATACATTTAGTATTAATGCACGAATGCTATAGCTTAATAACGAAAAATACTGAAATTATATTCCCTTACTCCTTTAATAAATTTCATTCATGTCTACATTAATAATATCATCAAATTTCTAACGATTATCCCACATTTCTGACACAATACCATGGTGCAGTTAGTGTTACTACAGTAAATCCATGGTAAATGATGGCGATTTGTAGACTGAAAAGTCTTCTGACTGTATCATTGTGCACAGTGTTTCTCCTGTTTGTCAGCGCTGTTTCATCTGGCTTTAAACTAGTTTAAATCGCAAAGTGTGGGTTGGCACTGGCTCTACAGTCCAGCTGTACATTTTTTTGTCCCATGTACCACACGTCCTGCTGGCCCATCACCATAACATCTGGAGCAACTGGAACATAATTTAAATCATTGTTGCATGAAGAAATAATATGATCGCCTTGCTATAAAAATATATAGTGCTTAGCAAAACCTAAACCCTTTTCTTTCTTCCACAGAACACAAAAGAGGACATTGCAGGGCTGGGTACTAACACATATTTCACGCAGTCAATTAAATTTCATTTGACTCACTCTTGATTTAATTTAAATTCACCTGAATATTTATATCAGATACAGTACATGTCAATTTATATATTCAATATCTCTTAACTAATGTTGTAAACTACATAGGGGACCTCTAGTTAGTACATTACTATAAAGTTAAAGGTTAAAATGTATCTATTAAATTAATTTGCTATTCATTTTTAGATATTATAATCAATACTTATAAATATTTATTTGTATAAACATTTACTGTAAATTGACCATAAGGCAGTTTATATCAACTTCTTAATTGTATTATTAGGTTTAAATATTTATTTGTATAAACATTTACTGTAAATTGAACATAAGGCAGTTTATATCAACTTGTATTGGAAATGTTTTCCAATTTGTTGTTGAAATATAAACATTTAAATGGTGGTTGTCATAAAAAAAGTATTTCAACAATTCAAAGACTGATTCTTGTGATTTAAGAATTGATCTTGATTCCTCAAAATGAATATCGATTAAAATTAAGTAATGGATATTGTCAACCCAGTCCTAATATTTTGTGAAATGTCTATGCTGTTCTTTTCTATACAATGAAAATGAATCAAAATTGGGGCTGACAAATTCTAAAAATGGCAAAAAGCACCATGAAGTCCCATAAAAGTAGAAAATATGACTTGTGTACCATAAATCAATTGTTCTCATTTTATGTTCAATGGCAGAGAAAGTCATACAGGTTTGAAACAAAAAAAAGTGAAGTTATTTTAAAAGTTAAAAATTATGGCAGAATTAAATTTTTAGAGGTGAACTATCCCTTTAATCCATATTAATGCTACTGTACTTTGGAAATTCACTTAATGCAGTACTCTGTAAAGAACAATTTCTAAGCAATGAAACTCATATTATTTTTATAAGACATTCACATTGAGCATGAAACCATTCTCACGCTATGGATGTGAGTCCCAGAAAGAGCAAGGGGAGATGTGATTGGCTAACTCAATTACACAGAAACCTCAGTATACTGAGGCTTAGCTGTGGCTGAGAAAATAAACTGATGTGTGATATGGAGAGAAGATTCAGGAGTGGAACAGAGAGCCTTGAGATTCAACCCCAGCAGTCTATATAACAATAGCATGATCAAATTCTCATCAAAATAGCCAGTGTTCAAGTTTCTTATGCAAATCAGTTGCACTTTTAAACACGGCACTGTAAAGATTCTGTAAATCTGTCTTGTTTTGATAAAATATTCTAAACTTTATTAAAAATTTGCTTGAGCAGCATAAGACTAAGAGAGATGTTTAGACTTATTAAGAAAATATGGTATGTACAGGTGTACATACTATGTACTTATTATAACATATGTACTTGTTACTTGCTAAGTACTTATTATAGCATATTACAATATATACAGAAAACATGCACTGATGCTCAAGAAGGCCACACAATGCATTAAGAGACGGGGGGTGTAAACTTTTTAAATTGGATGATCAGGGTAAATTGTACTCATTTTGTCTTCTGGGAAACATGTAAGTATTTATGTAGCTTCTGAAGTCCAGTACTAAATGAAAAAATATGATCGTTAAACAAAATGAAAAGAATTTACACATTATCATCCTGTTCACAAGTTTTGGAAAGGGTTCAAATATGCAGACGATGCTGGAAAACCAAAGAACGTGCAGGAGCTGGGGGATTTTTCTGAAGAACAGCAGGCAGTTGCACAGCTCAGGCCAACAAGGGACTCATTAACAACTATCACAAAATATAAAAACAGTCATGGATCATCCAGGAAATTACACATAGTATTAAGATTCAAGGGTATGTAAAAATTTGAAAGAGTCATTTTTATAAATTCAGTTATTATTTTGTCTTGTGGAGCATATGTAAACATCTGTTATGTGAAATAGCTTATTCAGGACATATATAAAAAATAACATGCAACTTTCATGATCCCTCTTATTTTGTTTCAATTATTAACATTTTGCACATTCTGCAATGGGTATGTAAACTCATGAGCACAACTGTAGATATATATATACAATATATATATATATATATATATATATATATACAGTGGGGCAAAAAATTTCTTGATTAAGTACACTTTAATTACACTGTAGGTACACATACTTTCAATTACAATAGGCCTATATCTTGTATTAAATTAATTTTTTTTTGATGGATTATAATTTTTTATCACTAAATTGCAGGGTCATGTGACACTGAATACGAGTAAAATTCCTGTTTAAATTCAGCTTTGACATCATAATAATAAATTACATTTTTAAAATATTCAAATAGAAATTAGTTATTTTAAATTGCAGTAATACTTCACAGTATCACTATTTTTACAGTATTTGTGATCATATAAATGCAACCTCAAGGAGAATGAGAGTTAAAAACTGGTAATGTATAATATGTTAAAATATTATCTTACACATTATTGTTTTGTTCTTATGTGAAGCATACATATCACTAAATTTATGCAAGATTTATGTTCTGAACAAGACTTCAATAAAAAATCTAATTGTTGTTGTGTTTGCATGGTAAGCTTTGTCTATGATAAATCCATTAGTATTAATAGATGTATGAGGTTGTAAAACTCAAAAGTAGTTTTCTCACTTTAAAACACTTTGGAAGGCAATGTGTGATTTATTGAGTACTAAAGCCTCCTTCTGTCAGTATGAACTCCCCCACTTGTATTTCCGCTCCTGTTGCTGCCCTTGCTGCGCTCAGATCAATATTTCATAAAGCGCCTCCATTAAGCAGCGTGCCGTTCAAACAGACAGCAGCCAACAGTTCAAGATGCCAAAGGGAAGCACACTGAGGATTAAGATTTTAAATTACTCCTAAATTGACATCTTGTGAGTATGAGAGTGGCAAAAGTGAGCAATCAGCGCTCCTTGTAACATACAGGAAACCCACGGAGATCTTGAAATACAAAACAGGAGAAACTTTTTTTTTTGATAAAAGCAATTCACACTCACAAAACACATTGAGCCGGTAGGGAATGTGGAAATCCTGGGATAGGGCCGGGTGACGTACAACACAGCTGAGGGTCCGACCAAATGCATCCCGGGTGGGGGCCCAGACGTAGTGTACTAAAGTGGTGGTAGTGCCTTCAGGCTCCGGCTGTGTGACGACTGCTGTCTGGCCCGGCAGGTCTGATTCCCAGAAGACCTCTGCTGCTGGACGACCCCTTTCAGCTGTACATGTCGCTACCAGAGTTTTACCATCTCCATCCAACAGAGACAAGGAACCAGGAGACACATAGACCTTTGGCTCCACTAAAGGGAGAAATTGAGAAAGAGACAAAACTGAACAATAAGCTTGAAGATATTTTTGAACATCTGTTAAAGGCCTTTGTGTATAAAACAAAATGTATATATATATATATTTTAAGAAATTAATACTTTTATTCAGCAAGAACACATTAAATTGATCAAAAGTGACAGTAAAGACATTTATAAAAATGTATCATGGTTTCCACAAAAATATTAAGCAGCACAACTGATTTCAACATTGATAAAAATACAAAATTGATAAAAAAAATTCAACATTGATAAAAATCCACTGAAGACTGGAGTAATGATGCTGAAAATTTAGCTGTTAGAATATATATATATATAACAATTTACATGTTAAAACATATTCAAATACAAAGCAGTTAATTTAAATGACAATATGATTTCACAAAATTACTACTTTTACTGTATATTACTGCTTTTATATACTTTAAAAAGAATAAAAGATACATTTAAAGGAAAATAAAAATAAAGTATATTACAATACTTGTCTACAAGATTACTCGAAATACACGTGCCTCGAGAAAAACAAGAAATAAATAATTAAAATATGGAAGGGTCAGAAAAAAACAGTACAAAATGAGTTATTGATATTGATATTGACCCTACAGGATGATATACAACAAGATGAATAAATAAGGAAGGAGGGGAAAAAAGAAACCATGTAAAGATTGGAAACTGGCCTTACACTCAGAATTGATTTATTACACCAACCCTACAAATTCACATTAAAAATGGATGATCTGAAATTACTGAGTGCTGAGGTAGGGGTACAACAACATCCCTGAGTGCGTCTGAGTGGCTTCTGTCTCTACAGAAAAGTGGCATATTAGTGTCTTAATATTATTGAGAGAGTCCACATGTATTTAAAGAGAACAAAAGGAAACACACATTGTGTATTACAGCCGAATCAATCATTGGGAAATGTTCAGCAGCCCTGAGCAACAAAACCCCACACTGCTTGAATTAAAACAACTGATTCAATTTCAGCTATTGTTTTTACTTCTGAAATAACATTAGCTAAGAGATCACTCACCTCAAAGGTTACATTCACACTACAAGCCAGTGTCCGATTTCAATTTTCTGTGCAAATTCAGTTTGTGAGGATATTCATGGGACCTTATAAATGTGGTCCATATATCCTTATACTACACTATACGCTGGCAACACACCTGCATAACTCCCTACTTTGGCATATTCATTATAAGGTAATCAACAAATACACTGAATATGATATCATGTTTTGTAATTACATGAAATTAGACAAACTTAAATGCATCAGCATTAACATTAACATGACAACATAATAATTGTGACCTGTTCTTTAAAATACGACCACCACCACCCTACTACTAATTATAACTACCGTATATATATTGCAAATTTATAATTTGTTTTAAACAAACACATTTAAACATTTCTGTTATATTTTATATGGTATTTCCTTTTAAATAAATGAGTAAAATATCACAGATTCACATTCGCTACTGTTCAAATGTTCGGAGTCTGTACATGTTTTTAAATATACATACAGTAAAAACAGTAACAATGTGAAATATTATTATAATTTAAAGTAACTGTTTTCTATATTTTAAAATGTAATATACAAAGCTGAATTTTCAGCATCATTACTCCAGTCTTCAGTGCCATATGACATGATCCTTTAGAAATTATTCTAACAAGAAACATTTATATTTAGAATAGTTTTGCTGCTTAATATTTTTATATAATTCATCAAATTATTTTCAGGATAAATTTTTTGATGAATAGAAAGTTTTACAGAAATACAGAGTTCTGGCATGAAACTCTAGATGGTGCAGTCCGATAGGTCTAACTCAATCTGACCTAATGACATCATTATCACATGGCTCAGCTGATTGGTTTTCTCCTGTATCGGTAGCCAATGAGCTCGCTGCTCAATATTCAAATATATGACTAGTGCTTGCCGTAGCAGTTGCAGCTTGCTTCAGAAACCCTCCATCTTCCCCAGCTCCACTTGTATAGATCTGCTATGAGGTGATTTATGTATGCTATATGGGGGTTATTTCATCTATGTTATATTTGCAGCAGCAATATTTCTTACATGCTCACAGCAGCATGTTGTGGATGTATTGGCGGTAGCAAGTCTCGGTGCTTGCCGCAGCAGCAGAAGCAGCGAAGCAGATCTATTCCGCCAAGACCAAATACATTAACATTGTCATGTACATTACCATGCCAATCCCGCCGAGAGTTGTCATGACAGAACCTCTTTTATGTGAAATAGAAATCTTTTGTAACATTACAAATGTCTTTAATGTCACTTTTGATCAATTTAATGCATCCTTGCTGAATAAAACTATATACTGTATATATGCAAATAATAATAAAAAAAAAAAAAACCTAGTATAAAAATCTAGTAGTGTATTGCATGAAACTGGCAATGGTCAGTATTGAGATTTGGGCCACAGTGAACTATGAATGCAGCCATAATATCCTCTATTAATAAAATCGTATCAATACTACTTGAATTTGTCCTTTTCCCTCTTTCCTTTCTCCATCACTCTCTCTAGAGAATTGCAACAGCTGCGCTCTTAAGAAACAGTTTGGCCATGTGGGCCAAGAACGTCGACTTAATCCTACACGCAAGGCTGTCTGCTCCACACACCTGTTCTACTCTATTTACAGGCCGCTCCTGTATACGAGAAATCGAAATAACCCCAGGCACCCCTAATGCTAAATATAGCCCTGCGGCACCTGAATGGTGGGGACCCACAGTGTATCACAGAGTGCTGACATCCGAATGCCAAAATCAGATCTAGCCTGAACTCCATGCCATCTGCATCACGCTGGAGCTCTGCTGACTCAGAGCTTGCAGGGGCATCTTGGCAACTCATTCACACCCAACCCTCCTGATAGAAGTGGAGAACCAGCTGATCTGACATGCAGGTTGTGGGTTGCCGAAGGCCCAAGAGAAGGTCCGGGTATTGATTTATCATTAGACGGGGCAGGAATTAGGGGCGGGTCACTGTCACCCCCACACAAGTGCAGACCCAAAACATTCCTGCTCTGGGTTGCAGACCAGGGTTGTCGCCAAAACCACAGTTCCCCAAACAATTGTGTCATTGTAATGGACTCCAAGTGAAAGCAAAGTAATTATGTTAAAAAAGGAAAAGAATGAATTGTGGGTACAAATTATACTGTTTAGCTTGCGTGCCGCATTTGATGTGTTTTATTGTAAAAATTCACACGGTCATTGAGAATTCATTCCGATGATTCATCATTGTTAAATTCACAGGAATAGGGATGGCGGCTTCAAGCTTGTGTGCAAAAAACGAACAAACTCAAAGCAGCTTATTGGCCAGTGAATTTATAGTTTTAGAGGTTTGGGTAAATTTCTCCCTTTGCTGTGAAAATGCCAATGACTAATAGGGCTTTGCTTTAACGTCTGAATCAGTAATACCATTTCAGACTGGATCGATAAAATTGAGAAGTTTTACCACTTCTAATAGGGAAAAGATTAGCTTCTGTTTTTAGGTTTTGCCAGGAACGCAGGAAATAAACAAGAAGAAAAAAATGGCACCCCACAAATCAAAATAGAAGGAATGTGCTAAGTGCTATCACGCCAGTGTGTGACACATTTTTCTCATCTCTGTAATGTTTGACAACGCTTCATTTCACACAAAAATTTTTATTTTGGATGCGATTAATCGGGATTAATCATTTGACAGCACACAGAAATTCTAATGTTTCACAAAATGATTCGCCTCAAGGAATTCACACCTATACAATTATATAGTGTACAAACTGTCCACAAAGATATACTCACCCATAATGTCCACAGTTGTGGATGCTTGCATGTTTCCAAGTTGGAACGTGACAACTTTACAAGTGTAGGTCCCAATGTCTGCAAACCCCACGCCCTGCAGGACAATGGATACATCATGCACTGAGGGCTTGATGAAGTGCACACGTTTGCTGTACTCGTCAGTTATGGAGGTCCCGTATTGGGGGTTGAAGACAGCCAAAGTTACGGTGCCGGAGGGTAGACGGCGTTCCCAGGAACTCTGGGTCAGACTGAGGTTTGTGCTGACCTCCATCCTGCAGGTCAAAGTAACGTTTTTCCCCAGCACTGCAGTCACCTGCTCAGGAACCACAACCTTGTTGGCCCACACACCTGGAGAGATACAGATCATCAGGAAGAATCATATAGGAAATAGATTAACAGTAGCCAAAATTTCCATTCAACACGTTGGAGCAATGCAACAGAAGATTCATTTTTGGTTTCTCAAAAGAACCTTTCAGTGAACAGTTCTTAAAAGAACCATTTTTTTCTTATTATGAAGAACACTTTAATAATCTAAAGAACCCTTTTCCACTATAAAGAACCTTTTGTGGAATGGAAAGGTTCCATGAATGTAAAGGTTTTTCATCGAACCATCAATTTTACTGAAGGACATTTTTCCATGATGAAGAATGTTTTGTGTAATGAAAAGATTCCATGAATGTTAAAGGTTCTTCATGGAACCACCAATGCCAGTAAAGAACATTTAGTGTTAAGAGTGAATTATTTGTTTTTTGGTTTAGCACATTATTTATGATATACCTGAGGGAAATGCTACTTATCTATAAATTGTTGCCATTGTCAACAGAATCTGTTGAAAGTCCATACCTCAAATGTTGTGAAAAAGTCAGTTATAAAACATTTCTGAATGACTCACCGAATTCAAGACTAACTGTTGTTCAAATACAGCAGGAACATCTCACAGAATACCTCTGTGAATCAGTTTAAAACGCTATACTGTATGTTCTTAACCAGTTCCATCCGTCTAATCTTGCTGACATCACTTCCATCAGGTGAACCCTTGAAAGGTCATAACTGAAGTACAGTATAGTGGGAGATCTCGTACAGCAGATAATGAGGGCTCGTGTTTTCCCCAGCCTTAATTACGCCCCATGCGGGAGGCCGTCCTTCTCTACTGCAGCAGGCTGTGAGTACTGTGCCACACAGCCCGTGCTTCACATCCATAATGAGCACCATACAGACCCCCGCGTCACACTGCGGGACGCTCCGACTGTCCTCTCCGTTAACCGTCTGAGCACCTTGCCAAATAAAAGCCGCTGGAACAAGATGAAAAACACCAACATCCAATTTGGGAGGTTTTTACTGTTTAATAGGTCTCTTTAATCTGTGCCTGTGCCCTTTGCATGTTTATTTGAACACACTGGAGTTATTTGCTGATTCATGTAAACATGATATTCTGGTGAGCTGGCAGTTAAAATTACAATGGAAGAGATTGATTAAAAAAAGGTGTTGGTAAGAGAAGAGAAGTAGATCAGACAGGGTCCATAAGGGGTCCCATCAAAGACACCATAATATCATAATCAAGAATTGTGTTAGCTTTATCAATATGTTAGTGTACTTCTAAATATTGGCAAAATTCATATTTTTCGTTTTCTTCTGGGAAAACAGGGCGAAAGATATCGATGATTCACACTGCATTACACAGATTTTGTCTAATTAAATAACTATACATGCTTCTTAAAAAAACTTTATCTATATATACACTACTGCTCAAAAATTGTGTGGTTGATAAGAAATTATTATTTTTGCTCACCAAGGCTGGATTTATTTGATCACAAACAGTAATACTGTGATATATTATTACAACTTAGAATAACTATTTTAATATATTTTCAAATGCAATTAATTCCTCTAATGGTAAAGCTGAATTTTCAGCATCATTACTCCAGTCTTTAGTGTCACACGATCCTTCAGAAATCATTCTAATATGCTGATTGCTGCTCAAACAGTTTCATTGTATCAATGTTGAAAACGGTTGGAACGGTTGGAATTTTTGGAAACTGTAATATATCTTTGAAGTTCAAAAGCATTTACTTGAAATACATTTTTTTTTGTAAGAATGTAAAAGTCTTTACTGTCACTTTTGATCAATTTATTTTAACGCATCCAGCTGAATAAAAGTACTTATTCCTTAAAAAAAATCTTACTGACCCTAAACTTTTCAATGGGAGCATACATTAATGCAATGAAAAAAAGTACCTTTTTTGTTGTTGTGAAAAAATATCATAAAAGCCTAATTTACATAAATTCCTCAGTGGAAAAAGTTGATATTCAGTTGTTGTGAGACTGCTTTTCTAAGTGGTTGAACTTTTGATGCTGTATTACTGACGTACTTCTTGTTTGTTTCATGTAAACAGTGTTTTACAGATTCCATTCCATGTGCTTTCCTAGTATCGTTGCATGGATACAACGCAAAACCGGCTTGAGGAAAGATCGGAAAATATCACAAAACCTGATATTTTGAAGAATTTTTTGTTCATAAAGTGAAAGCCAGTGAGGTCCAAAACAACAATGGATCTTTGGTGCTCCACAGAAGAAAGTCATACAGGTTTGGAACAACAAGACGATGAGTAAATGATGACCAGATTTTAATTTTTGGGCTATCCCTTTAACAGTCAATCCTGGTTGGTAAACAACAACACACTGCAGCTTAGCCTCATGCAAGAAATCATGGTGTTCTGAAAGCAAAACAAAAGAACACGTTTTCGTGAAGATCACTGGAAAACACAGAAAAAATTATAGGCTACAGAATGGGAGCTGTGCAAAACAAATTCTGCGAGAAACACAGAGCAGTGAAAAAATAAAATCTCCTCAGTCATTAAATCCCACAAATTGCTGCATTTCAGATGGAAAAATTGTTAATCGAGACACTAAGCTTTCCTCCCTTTAAAAAGAAGTTAGCGCATTTAATGCTGTTTTTACAAATGACTGTGCTAAGAAGTATTCCTACCATCAAAACAGTCACAAGGTAAAACCCATACTATTTCAAATACATAGACTGGGTATACCAGACCAGATCATAAAAAGTGGGTCTATGGAGGCACTAAATAGTGACTGATATTTTGAAACCTTGGCAGCTGCATACTAGTGGTAAACCTCTGCTATTATATCATGCCTGTATGGGTGCAGGCTTTCCCTCTGCCTGTTCCCCTGCCCACCCTGTAATTGCAAGAATACCACCACACACACACAAAGACAGAGAGAGAGGGAGGGTGTGTGTGTGTGTGTGTGTGTGTGTGTGTGTGTGTGTGTGTGAGAGAGAGAGAGAGAGGCTACACTGCAATCTGGCTGACTGCTTGAATATGAAATTTGCTGAGACCAGAGGATCACCCATTTCAATTCACACTGAGATCGTTAAAGAGACATTTACGTCACTCAGCAAACTGAGCTTAGGGTGCACCAGTTTACCTGTAAGGCTCCATTTTTACTGTTGTGATAAATGGATAGATCACCCCTTATTTCATTCCTAATCTGCTTGAATTCTATAGCTACACATGCATGCTCAAAAATAACAATGCAACAATGGAGAAGAACGCAAGGGTCTCGAAACGTGTTTATACATTTTCAATGTGTCAGTCTTAGAAATGCAATGCTCATGACGTGAGACGCTGAAAAAAACAGCAAGGCGAGACTAAACGGACAAAAACGTTTGCTTGTGTATAAAAAACATTTCAAAAATAGCACAGGCTCAATGCAAGAACATACAGACCACAGGCAAACAGATATTCAACAAATAAACAGACTTTTATTGCCCAAAACGATCACAGTAACTTTCTTGAAATATACTGTTGGAATCAGTGGATTAACTGTCACCCGTCCCCTTTGTGGGACGCCTAAATTTACTTCACTATATTACAATTCAATCCTAATCTAATCATGACAAACTATATATCGTTGGAAAGGTCTAAGACTCCTAAATAGATGTTTTAAGTAATAGATACATTTTTGACAAGAGTGCACCTCAAAAATCTACATCATAATTCTGCTAATGATGGAGTTCTGACCTTTGTCAAAAAAAAAGTCTTCTTTGTTGCCTTTTTCTCTATCACACTTTAGAAATCATCAGAAATTATATATCAATTGAAAACTTTAAATCTCAAAATTCATCCTTTGAAACCCATTTTAAAATCAAACATTGCATTACCATGAAAATGGTACATCAATATCATGTTACAAAATGTTTTCGTTCATGAATTATAAAAATTTAAGTTTGGATCGTGCACTTTCACGTCTATGTTCAAAAATGTGAGTGAGAGTTAAAGGGTTAAAGCACCATCACTAAAAATATAAACAATAATAATGATAATAAAACTCTAAATAAACTAGTCAGAATGATGGTGCAGGAGGTGGTAGAGATGCAGGATGTCTAATCTAAATTAAATTGCTAATTAAATTCAGAAATATTTAATCCCAATAAATATGGCTTTTATCGAAGAACATACAGTTCTTGAATTTCTAGAGTACCAAAATGAATTGGTTCATTAATTTAATATAACTTACATTTCCTGTAAAAAAACAAAAACAAATGAACAAGCAAAAGAACAAATGAAGATACCCATTGACAAATGTTAATGAAGAGGAAATATATAGAACAAAAAAAAATAATTGTCCATGCTACAAGATTTCAAGCTATTTTTACATTATAAAAAATGTGAAGTGACTTTCGGCCAAAACTGAGGCTGTTCAGTAAGGATCCCTCTGTTTTACCTAGAGTTATAATGACTAGTTATACTGAATGTAGCTTAAAATTGTGCTTAACTATCAACAAAACTTAAGACCAGGCAAACTTCAGATGTGGTCTGACGTTTGATGTCAGACTGCCACATCAAAACCCAGGTGAGCGCAAAGGGATTTAGAGTTTTTAGGATGCAAAGCAACATCATTTTTTCTCTTGGTGTCCTTTTTGCTTCAATGACAGCAGCAATTGAGTTGCATGAATGAACGATTTCAAGCATGAACCTAATATAGTTTTATTACTTTATCATTGGAAAACCAGGGTCAATTGGCATTTCATATGCAAGGGTTTGGCCGGTTATTTATGCTTTATGTTTATGGTTGCCCTGTGCATGTGTGTTGTGTTTAGGGCAGAATAACACACAGTCTGTGCTGTCTCCACTTCACTGCAGTCTGAGCTGTGGGAGCAGCTGTCACCTGTCTACCAGCCAACCCACCGCTGACCTCGCAACCCTGCCCTGTCACGTACACACATACATTCTACAAACACATCCAACGGTGCTCATCAGGGAGGTGAGATAACGAACACACACTGACAAAAATATCGGCCTCCAGTCGGCTGTGAAAACAACTCCAAA